GCCTCCCGCGGGCCGGTGCCTGCCCGCATCGGCTACTACGAGATCGACCGCACCATCGGCAAGGGCAACTTCGCTGTGGTCAAGCGGGCCACGCACCTCGTCACCAAGGCCAAGGTACTGGCGGTGGCCGTGCAGCCGGGACGGCGCAGCCCTGGGCTTGGGGCACAGCTGGGGGGCTGCCGGGGGCCGCCCCGCCGAGGGCAGGGCAGGGCCGGTCGGGGAAAAGGGCTTTGGAACTCTCGGCGAAGCGGGAGACAGTCAGCTCGGAGACTCTGGAACGAGTCGTTAGGAAATGAGAACGGAATGAGAACATGGGCATCTGAAATGGGGACCAGGAAGACCGGGGGGTGGGGGGGACCAGGCTGAGCGGGCAGACCCGGGATAGATCCTGGGGGTGCGGGGCACTGAGACAGGAGACACATGTCACCTATGACAGGGACACACATCAGCATCTGGTCGTCTGAGACTCCTGGATGGTGACAACGGGAGCTTGAAGAGACAACAAATTACTGAAGGAAGCAAAAGGGGAACATTTACTTTGCTTGTCCTAAGGAAGGGGCTTGTATTCTAGGAATACCTGGGATCTCAGGGCAGAGGCCCAAGGGGGGGGGCAGGTCTATGGGAGCACTTGGCAATCGGGTTAAACAATTTTGGTGGGCTGAATTGCTGATTATTTTTTAATTATTGGAGGGTCTGGAATTGTGAGCTTTACTAGTACCGATCCGAGGTGGGTTTTCGGTGATGAAGGGAAAGCGTTGAAACTGAGGCGGTGTATAAGGAACCCAGATAACATAGTGTTAGGAGACTAACACTCCTGTAGGACCCTTTGGTTCCCAAGGGATTTCAGGAGCCGTGGTGCTGTAGGATTCGCATTGGACTGTGAACCACAAGGTCCGTTGTTCAAACCCACCAGCTGCTCCTTGGAAACCCTATACAAGGTTGCTATGACCGACTTGACGGCACTTAACAACAACAACAGTAGAGAATTTGGCCAAGGTCAATTAGGAAGCTATATATGTGTGTGTGCATGCATGCACCTATGTTTCTTTTCTTTTTTTAAAAAGGAAACGTAGTATTTTTGGATTTGATGGATTCCATAAAGCCCACTTTTACTGCAAATTTCTTTCTTTGGTCCATGTCTCACTTGACTTAACACTTTTAATGTAATGATTCTTTATGTTTAAAACTGCAGTTTGTGTTTTCCCTTAACCTCACTAATGGAGAACCTTTATAGCTGCTGCTGCTGCTGCTGCTTCCTACTAAAGCCACATCAATTCCCCTCACCTCCTCGGCCCCATAGCCTCTGGTTATTAACACCGACCTTGTTTTTGCTTTTATGGCAACAGTTTGTTTTCAGAAGCCAGTGACTTATCTAAGTCTTCTTTCCTGATCTCTTGCAACCTAAGTTCCTTTTTCCCATTCTGTCAAAGACTCCAAGAGGCCCCTCTTACCAGGGTGGCAGAGTGGGTGGCTGCAGAGAATTGATTGGTCAGTTTCACTTCCTCTGGAGGGCCCCCTTCAGCCTTTTTGTCAGTTTTAATCAGAGGGCCTCAAGTCTGCAGGTCAGAGCTGAAAGATATACCAAAGTCCAAGGTTCCTGACATTACCCTCAGACTCCCAGTGGGTAGACTGAGTCTGAGGGGGGTGGACTCTGATGTATCTTCCCCTACCCCTCTCTTGAGAGTTTGCAGTCATGTTTACTGTTAGCCAAGCTCAACCTATATTCATAAACAAATCTAGGTGTCCATGTTTTTTTCCTTGTTTTGGTATTTCTTTCTCCCCTGCCCCCCCCCCCCCCTTTTCTCTTCTAAGTAATCACATTGTGCTTCTGTGATTGTTTTGCTCAGACCTCTGGGGATTGGACTCCATGAACTTAATTGCTTACTTGGTTTATAGTATCTGTGATTTAAACAATTTTGTGTCTTCCAGCCCTTGGATACTCCAAAATATTGATAAAAATCAGTGGCAGACAGGTTTAAATGTTTTTGTAAACGTAATTGCTAACAGTTGATTCTTGGCTTTATATATAAAAGAGATATTTCTAGCCTCAGTAGTCAGCAAAGCCAGTGGCTAATTATGGCTACTCTGCCCGCTTTCTAATTTTCCAGCCCCCCCACCATAGTGTTTCTCTGAGGCTTTGGTATCCTTTAGGACTGCAGCGATTTCAACCTTGGCTTGTTTATAAATGGGTGTCACTGTTTATGTTGGTTTTTATCTTTGATCATTTGTGGTGTGCAGTTTGTTACGCAATTCCTATGGATGGAAATATTCAGTCTTGAAGTGACTTGGACAATGAGTTGCATGTGTGATGGGACCACACCAGAATTCATTTGTGTTTCTGTAGCTCAGTGTGCAATTTCCTATTTACAGTTACAAGAACCCTATACTTGCCCTGCTTAAATCACTCTGATGACATGAGTGAAGCTTAAATCACAAGGAGTTGTCATGTGCTCCCGGTGAAAGAGGAGCGTATTTTGGCCTGCTCCATGCTGATCTGAATCCACATTGGAAGAAGTTCTCAAATTCTGACAGCTTAGATGTGCCCAACAGCTGCTGACATACAGTGTGATGGCCTATTAAGGCCATGGTTTGGTTATATAATGATGGGGAAGGTGCAGAGGTAGGAGAAGTTGCAGAAGCTACTGCTTTAGTTCCTCAAGGAGGGAGATTTTTCTACCCAAGCAGTGCAGCATTTGTCTTCTGCAGTCAGGCCACTTGGAACCAAAGAAAGCTTATTTCTCCCCCCTTCTTTTTTCAGAATGTATCATTATTTTGGTTTTGTCTGTCCTTTTTTTTTAATAACCACATATAGCAATCATCTCTCTCTCTGGTAATTCAGATGTCCATTGTTCTCACTGAATGAGGTTAGGTAATAGGTGTTTTCTGAACATCAAAGGAATATTGTGATCACCTTTTCTTACACACACTACTTCTTCCAAGGACAAAGAGGCCAAAGTAAACTTCATTTATTGATTAAGTTACTGTGTGCTTCATGGAATGATCAGTGATGAAGCTGACCCTTCCATATTACTGTTCCTTCTCAGCCTTCTGAGAGTGGGACAGCGGGGTGCAGCGCCGCATCCGTAAGCTCAGACTTAAGACAGGCAGCACTGCGGGGTGGGGAGTGTCACTGCAGAACTGTTAGCAGGAGAGAATATTCATCTGTGACATACTTTGGTCAGCAGCTTGTGTTGGCTGCCTCTGCCCTACCTTTTTTGATTTCATTGTTTTGTGTATATCCTTCTTGTGAGATTCTCTGACTCTCTTCTTTATGGCAGGACATGACCTGTATTAAAGAGATACAGAGACAGGTTTTCTGCTTTCAGATTGTTTAGTCTATTGCCCATGTTTAATACCTTCATTAGTTCTGGTGTGGCACTTTAGGATAAGCACTGGACTGCTAACAGAAAGGTTGGTGGTTCAAACCCACCAGCTGCTCCTTGGAAACCCTATACAGGGGTTGCTATAAGTCGGAACCGACTCAGTGGCACTAAACAACAGCAAGAAGTTGATGGAGTCCCTGGGTGGCACTTAGCAACGACAACAAGTAGCCAAAAAGTTGGTGGTTCGGACCCAGGTGTATTGATCTGGTTCTGAATGGCCTTGCAAACCCTGTGGAGCAGTTCTCTACACAGTGGTCTGCCTTGAGTCAGAATTAACTTAATTAATGGTAACCAACAACAACAACAACAACAACAGCACTTGGCTGAGTGGGGAAAGTCAGGGAGTGAAGAGTGGATATATTTTATATGCTTGTTTTTGGTTGTTAAAAATAAGCAAGGATATAAAAACCATTGACTAAATACTTTAAAACTATTTCAACAAACATATAAAACCCACTGCCATCAAGCTGATTCCGAATTGTAGCGACCCTATAGGACAGGGCAGAAATAGCCCTTAGGGTTTCCAGGACTAGATCTTTGTGGGAACAGATAGTCTTATCTTTCTCCTGCAGTGCAGCTGTTGTGTTTAAACTGCTGACCTTGCATTTAGCAGCCTTGTGCTTAACTTACTGTGCCACCAAGATTCCTTAACAAATATATCTCAAACAAACCCAAACTCACTGCCACTGAGTTGATTCCAACATACACCAATTCAATATAGGGTTTCCATGGCTGTAGATCTTTATGTGAGCAGGAAGTCCTATCTTTTTCCTGCTGAGTGGGTTCGAACTGCCAACTTTGTGGTTAGCAGTCCAGTGCTTATCTTATAGCACCACACCAGGACTCAGTACAAATATATAGCAGTAGGAAGATGAGGCTTTCTGCTCCCATAGAGCTTTACAGTCTTGGGAATACTATCAGGATCACTGTGCATCAGAACTGACTAGATGACACACAAAAACATGGTAAGTCAGAATTTGAGATTTGGATAATACTGTCTTGGTTTGAATCCACTACTACTTAATGACTGGGTGATCTTGGGCAAGTTATTTAACCTCTCTGTGTTTGGCTTTCCTCACTTGTTAAATGGTATGACAGTACATAATACTTGCCTCACAAGTTTGGGCATTATGAAGACTAAATAAAATAATACATGAGAATGGTGTCTGGCAACAATGAGCACATACCATCATCATCATCATCATGTGCTATGGTAACTAAGTTGAATAAGACACTGATTCCCTTTTTAGTTTTTTCACCCCATGGGAACAATTTGTGAATGCATCTGCTATCAGTTTTATGTAGGTAGCTCTCATCCTGATGCTATGCTTTAGAGTGAAAAACAGTTTGCTGCTACTTCAGGTGCTGCTTCGAGATAGGTGGGCTTAATTCCTCTGAGCCAATCTCATAAATTGGCATTTAAAAAAATTCCCATTAGTTACCCTTTTTCTTCCCCCTTCCTTCTTTTTAATTAGTAATGAGACTTGTCGAATGAAAACCATGCTTAGCACTAGTTTGTGCTTTCAGCTGCCCTGACTTCTCAGTGTGTTTTATGTAAGCCATCTCTATCGCATTGGTGATGGAGCCGTTTGCTTGAGTGTTGTATTTCCACCAGAGTTTACTTAAGTTTGGTGGGGACTGTGAAGTAATATCCCTTAAGAACACAATTGCACTTGGGTGGAGAGTATGCTACCTACCAAGGTCAGAATTCTTAACTCTTACACACATTCT